GGGACACCTCCCACACCAGCCCCAGCTGCACAAGCCGCTCGGCTCAGCGCGCCTCGTCCCCCCAGCACCTTCCCTCTCGGCGGCCACACAACAGACAGTTCTAAATTGAGGTCGGCAGCGAGCAGCCAGGAACATGCCGGCCAGGTTGTTAATCGGGAGAAGATCATGCGCCTGAGACGCGCACAGGAAGCAGCGAGATTTATTCTGTTGGGAAGGCAAGGCGTGGGCTCCTGCCTGGATGTGAGGCTGGCGCCAGGCCAGCTGCTTTCTGCTCAGGTCTCTCCACTCAGCCCTGGGCAGGATCCGGGGGGCGGGGAGGGGCCTGGAAGAGGGGGGACAGGGACAGGGATGGCCTCACACCCATCAGTCCCTCGAAGCTCCAGCCACACTGATACTTTGAGTTTTTTTATTGAGCAACTAGAGAGACACCCCCTCCCCCAAAATCACTGAAGTTCCAGGGAGTGGACTGGCATGTCTGGGTGTCACGGTGGGCGGCTTTGTCGCATGTCATTCACATGACGATGCTCACACGGGGGGAACCCACTGAGCTGCCCGGGGCTCCCCTCTGGCCGGCGGAGCAGGTGGGGATTGCACAGCGACTCTGCATCCCTGCTCTGCTGCAGGGCGGCCGTCGTTGTTGTTGAACTATAACAGTAATGAGCTGTAAACGAGGAGCTCTGACCCAGGGCTGGAGTTTGTGTGAGATGGGGCGGGGGCAGGGGGGTGCAGAGGCATATGCCGGAGTCCCAGGTGAACCATGAAGGACAAGCGGCGAGAGGGGTGAGATGATCATCCCTCGCCCACCCTGCAGCCCCAGGCTCCCGTCGGCTGTGCCCTCGGCCTGGGACATCCACCTCCTCCCCTCCCAGCTCCTACTCACTCCTGAGCCGGTGGGGAAGCCCTGCCGCGTTCATCCCATCCTCCCGTGTGGTGCTCGCATGACCCTCCAGGCGGCCAGCACAGACCGGCTCGTGTTTCCTGGGGGTCGGGAGGTTGGAACTGGACCCAGACCACCAGGAAGGCGGGCACGCGGGGCCTCTCAGAGGCTCGCCACCTCCCGGATCCTGCTCCTCCTCGCCCTGTGTCTGGAGGCGCCTCCAGGCGTGGGGAGGCGGGCACGCTGCGTCTCCACGCGGCCACCTCCCTGTGGGTCCCAGCAGGAAGGCACACCCGGGGTCTTACAGAGCTCCCCGCATGTGCGGTACAGCCAGAGAATGAGGATCTGCTGGTGCGATCGTGCCGTCTCTACAGTTCGAGGGGGGGGTGGACGGCTATAAAAACAGACGACTGTTGCTCTGGATTCTTCCGGGATTCGTTACTTTAAGGTCAGAGGGTCAGGATCGTGAAAATGCAGAGAGAGGAGAACCTCAGGCCTCCGTGGACCTGCTGCCTCCGAAGCGGGGAGCGGGGAGCGGGGAGGCACACGGGAGCCTGGCTCTGGCCTGGCCATGGCCTCCACTGCCCCTTCCTTTCACCGAGGTGTCAGCACCCCAGGCCCGGACCCCAGCAGCCCAGCCCCCCTCTCCTGGACCTCCCGGGGTGCATCCCCCAGTTACGCTCGCTGCTGCAGGCAGGTTCAGAGTCATTTTCAGCCACCATGTGCACCTCCAACAAACATCTTAGGGGTACTGGTGAGGTCACAGCCCCCCACCCCAATCTGAGGCCTGGCAACATCCCCAGTCTAACAGGGAAGCAGAGGAGCCTGGGTGGGCGGCCGCAGGGAGGTGGGGGAGGGACATGCTGGCGTCCGGGTCTGGAGGTCATCAGCAAACTCACTGGTTTGGCTCAGTGGATAGAGCGTCGGCCTGCGGACTGAAGGGTCCCGGGTTCGATTCCGGTCAAGGGCACATGTCTAGGTTGCAGGCTGGATCCCTGGCCAGCGGAGGCAACCAATTGATGTGTCTCTTTCACATCGATGTTTCTCTCTCTCTGTCTCTCCCACTCCCTTCCACTTTCTCTAAAAATCAGTGGAAAAACATCCTTGGGTGAGAATTAACAAAAAGGAAAAAGAAGAACAGAAAGCAGGGACACATATGCACAGGGAGCTAGAAATGGCCCAAGAACAGAGCGGAAGGAAATGTGTAGGAAACACCGGCTGAGCGTGACACATGCCCTGTGTCAACTCAACACCACAATCCCACACGCCAACGACTGCAGCCTCAAAACTGCCCGACAAAACCCAGAGGAGCTGAGGGGCCCAAAGCCGGAGTTCCCGGCGGCGGAGCTGGGCTTGGACCCAGGCTGTCTGCTGAGGAAGAGAAGCAGCATCCGGGCCAGGCAGCGGGGTCAGAACCCGCCCAGTGAGGCCCAGCACAGGGCCGGGGTGCTCGTGGCAGCACCGGGCACAGCGGGCATCAGGGGCTAGGGGCGGTGTCAGCCTCCAGGCAGGAGGCACACATGTTCACAGGCAGGCCAGCGCCTGGCTG